TACACCCTCCCTTCCTAATGAGAATGAGTTTGCATTTCTCCTATACACAACACAGCAGTGGTAAAAGTATGTACTTGGTGGGGCTGATAAAACTAATGTGACTTAAAAAAAATTTTTTTTTAAGGAGAAAATGAAGAAAACTAATCAAGGGTGGATCTCCTAAAGTCAAGTAGCATCAGAAATAATTCCTCTCAAAGCAGCAGAAGAAATGCAAGAGATAGTAAGAATAATAATGAGTTGTTGTGTGCCAGGCACTGTTCTAAGTACTTTACTTGTATGACTTTATTTAATCTTCCCCAAAATACTATGAAGTAGACTGGAAACTGAGATACAGAGGGGTTAAGCAACTTGCCAAAGGGCACAGAGCTAAGAGAGCCTATGAGACCCAGGAACCCGTGGAGGCAGGCAGAACCCAGAGCTTGTTCTGCTAAGAGCTACTCTATATCCTAATCATCAGGTCAACACCACTCATTTACAGATAGACCAAGAGAAGGGAAATTAGTGTTTAAACAAAAATACCCCAGACTAGATCTAAATACTTCTTCACAACACAACTAAATTAAACTCAACAAAGAAAAATACATCAACTCTCTTACAAACAGAACGGAAAAACACTGATCATTTTGAGCAAATCTGCTGAGTGGAAAGGCATGGTATATCCATTTTCTATTGCCCACGCACACACAGATAACACAGCCGGTCAGAGCAACTGGTGATCTCACCCTTTTTATAACTGCACTCAACGAAACATGCTATGTCAAAAGACAGTACACACACACACACAAAAAAAAACCCCCCACACACACATTAAGCAGGTTTTGAGATTTATTAAAATAAAGTATTAGCAAACGATATGCAAAAACAAAGTTCTTAAGAGCTATGGCTTTGAAAAGCACAATATAGTAAAACCTAATACATTTTTATAAGTATCAAAAAGGCAACAGAATTGAAACATGTTGCTAGAATTTCATTTTCTACAACAAAAACAGAAGCAGAACAAGTACAAATAAGAAGCAGATCTATAGTGCAGCCATTGGTTTGGTCTTTATCATCTGCATATGCAAAACCTTTTTAAGAGAAGATGGGCCGGTACATACAAACATCCAGTTTTGATTACAATCCTATCCAATTTTAAAATAAGTGATTTTCAAAATGCAATTTTAACCCACCAGATTAAGAAGAAAATCACTTGCCCAACTATTATCTTCAAGAGTCCCTACACATAAAATACTTCATGAATAAATCAAAGCAACATCATCTCCAGTGACATGAGAAGGGAAAATCCGATTCTAAAAAATTCCTTGTAAGAGTAAGGAACGTAGAATTGTTTGGCCTCACTGTAGTTTTATTATAGTCAATACCAGCTAGTATCAACAAGGCACTACTTATTGAGGGAAAAGAACCTACCCATACACAAAATTCTGAACTTTTTAAGAACACTATCTTCAAATGAATCCTTAAAGGACAATGGTTTATGATGATTCCAAGAATTTTCAGAATTGAATTATTTGGACAAGAACCACACAGATCTTTTTCATTCTGCCATGAATGACAGAAGAATCCTGCGCTTGCATCTTTTCACCAAAACATCCCATTACTTGTTTTACAGCAACTGCTACCAGCAAGTATTGTATCATAAGCTCTTATTTGAAAAAAATATTTTTTTGCTACGTGAACTCCTTCTCATTGGTTTTTGTAAACCATCCAATTTCAGGTTAACACTTCAGTTGTAACAGAGTTGTATTTTAGAAGAGAAGCTTCTATTAGGAATAATCCAACAGAACAAAGGCTGGATAAATACTGTCCCCTCTCCTAAGTCCAGCAGGCACCAGTTTATGCAGAAGAAATGCCTTGAATCGTCACTTCCCATACATGCATCTGCTGTGAGGAGAAAACCTTCCCCAAATCCCACCGGCATCACCCGGGAAAATGGGTGCTGCTCTGGAGGAAACAGGCCTCAAGCCTGAGATTACCCCCAGGAAGCTGCCCTGCTTAGTATCTCAAGAGACCACCCATAAACCAATGTTCAGGAAAACTCCCTCCCACAAAAATCACCAAACATGCCTGAAACCACCATGCCATATCTACCAATTTAAAAGATCCTTGCTTATCTAGCTCCTTGCTATAATGAGGACACACATCTATATTCCTATCTGAGAGAGGGAGTGAGGGATTTAACTGCTAAGACAAAGAAGGGCTCAGACCCTATTAACAGATCTAAAACTGAAGTCATCATTGGAAGTTGAATTCAAAATTATCAGAAGAGCCTTCCTTCTTCAATAAGTATGAAAGATAACCAAAATATTTTAAGTGGGAAAGTGATAACAATCCAAAGTAATACTGAGCAAGCAACTACAAAGAGTATAAAGAAATGGATCTAAGCTGATGTATTAGATGCTCTCTGTAAAGGACAGTACTTAAACAGGTACTATCAGACTTTTTGGAGGTTCTCTGCTACTGGTAGGATTTTATTTTTTGTATAAACCTTCTCCAACAGAATACTATTACAGGAGGACTGTTTCCCACAGGTACCCTCAAGGGTTTTATAATGTGAGCCCCAGTTCTCATCTTGACAAGAGATTTCAGATCCGAACACTTATTGATCATTTTACATCTTAAAAGGATATCTTACTCTCAAATGTTATGAAAAGTATAAAGTAGCTATATCCTCTTTCTGTATTATGAGGTATATAGCTCACTGAACTACCTAGTAATCTTACTGTGGATTTCAACTCAGAAACCCAGCCAATTCTATTACCACAGTTTCCTTATATAACAATAAAACGTGAAAAATGATTTATATTCTGATGTATATGACGTGACATTGTGTTTGATGTCTTCTTTAATCGCTAAGGAAAAAGTGTTGGCTTCAGTAGATCAATAACATGCCTACTAGTTGACATTCCATAACTTAAGCCAAGCAATACCAAAAAGACCATAATACTTTATTATAAAGAGATGCTGATCAAATGCAACTCTTAAATTTTTTTCCCAATCATCTTTCTGTTGCATTAATTCATTACTCAGATTAATTTTGTTTCTATTTCTCTTTTTGCATTTACCAAACCAGTTGCCATTTTATTATTTCCAGACTCTAGTCTTTTCAGCTCACATATGTTAATTTGTTATACAAGCTATAAAACGTGATTGTTCCAGTGGTGTTGATGTTTCCATAAATTTGACTATAAACCATTCTAGAGATTAAATAAAAATTTAAAAGTGTCATTTTCTGAAAAGGTTTCTTTCAGAAGTGTCTTCTTTTCATTGGTCACTGGCAATTTTTATTTCCCATCCATGGATTTTTGGGCACCCTCGGGAATTAGAGAAGCAGCTACACAGAATACAATTTTCACTTAAAATCCAGGGATGGGGAGTTAATCACTTTTAGGAAATACAACAGGCTTATACTTTTCCATGAAACTTTTTAACAGTTAAGAGCTTCATACTGCCCTTCATGAGATAAAATTCCTTAGGGAAAACACAGAAAAGGCCAATCACATAAAACTCTGCCAACTTTCTAAAGGCTGTAACATGAATAAAAACAATTTTTAATTAACTCAATTGAAAACATCAATAAAACAATTCAATAGTTTCCACCAGTTCAAGCCCACTGAAGTTGATTACGTGTATCTGTCATTCAACCTGGATGGTTTTTTTCCTATAAATTTGTTCCAAAGATTGTGCCATAAACCTGGGAAGTAAAAGAATAATGTAAGTAGCTGGGTTTGAACACGAAGCAAATAATTCTCTTTCATGTGGCTGACACAACTCTGGAAGATGAAGAATGCATGTCATGTAAAACTTATGTGTAACTCAGGTGAGGGTCAGAAAGGATCCTTTTACCCAGCAAAGAACTGCAAGCTGAAACACATATGGCTCGTCACCTGAAAGAACTAAAGCCACCCACCGGCTGCACTTTGTAAAAGCAATAAATAATGGCACAGAGAACAAAACCAACTGCATTCTCCTTTCCTCAAAAAATGCAATTTCTTCTTCTCTTAAAAGCAGAAAGGGCAAAGTCGAAAGTCAAACCAAACTAACATTTTAAATAGAAGACTGACATGGCTCCATATACTTTCAAAAGGCACCAGAAAATAGCTTTCTCCAATAGGTAAATTAAGTTTTTTTTTTTCCCAAAATAATGTCTCTGTTCTCATGCCATAACAAAGTGTCCATTTGACTGCTCTCTAGAAAAAGAGGTTAAAAGTTCTTTACCCAAAGCCTTCAAGCATGACTGACTGACTGAACGGGTATTTCAGAGTATTCATGTCTTTCCTCTCTTGAGGACTGTGCTCTGAGAGACTAGCAACCACAGAGGTGCAAAAAAAAAAAAAAAAGGAAAAAACCAGCATGCATGGTAACTGAGAGAACAGTCTGCAGTCTTTGATACGTGAATATTTTAAAGTCAACTATCTCCACAACCACTGCTTATTCATTCAAGTACCAGACCAGTAGCCTCAACTTGGGGCCAGACTGAAGAGGCTCTTCTGGCCACAGGACACAGGTCCGTTCCTTGCTCAGGGCAACTGATGCCAGTAAGAGCAATGGGATTAAGTATGTGATTTTCCAACATGGATAACACCCATAAAGTGGTAGGGACTTAAAAAGGCACCTTAAGTTGGAGCTACAGAATAACAGTCTTATAATCTAGGTTGAAAAATACAACAAAAGCTAGAAAAAGTATAACTTCCTACAACTGTAATCTATAAACTGCAGTGTTTGTTAATACAAAAGGGTACCAAGGAAGTAAGGATGAGCATCCAAGTCCAAGTCACTTGAGTGTGTTTCACAAAAGATTACACTAGAAACTGTCACCCATCAAAGTGCAAAATAAAAGATTAATGCATGTCAAAATTAGAGTTCTTGCAACATTGGCCAAAAGCAGCAAAGCTGAACAAGGCCGTGCGTGCACTGTCACTAGCTATAAAGTAGTACTTATGACAGATTCTGAGTAAATGACATATACTGGAGATCTGTTGTTTACAATAAATTTTTTTTTTAAAAAGGAAATGTTTTACAAAAGATATACTGAGTGAAGTCACAACAGACTGACAAACATTTAGCTGTATTAAATGTAAATTTTATGACATCACCTAGAAAACTATCACTTTGCTTTTACTGAACACTACTTGTTAGAGCAGTGCAGCATAGTGTTCCTTCAAATAAAAGGGTGGTTTTTTTTTTTATAGTTTCTTTTCAGCCCCTACCATATGCTTTTACAAAACAATGAATTACACTTTCTTCACATTGGTAGGACAAAGAAACTGGTAAAAGTAGATCTTCTGTAGGGTTAAGAGGAGAAGGGAAGACTTTTCATGGCACACCTTACACTGTTATAATTTGTCATCACGTGATATATTACTTTTTCAAAAAAACTGAACAAGTAACAAGTTGGTTGGGACAAAAAGGCAAAATTATGTCCCAGTTTAAGATCAATGCCAAACTTGTGAACTGGGGTACAACACTTACTTTACATTTCTCACAACACTTTTGAGAGTTAATCACATGAACATGAATAACAAACAAATGTAGATTCATCACAAAATACAAATGTATTGGTCACAATTATGTAGAAAAAAATAAGCTGTAATATCTGTTTTCCATGTAAGCTCACAGTATCTGTACTGAAAGTTTCCCTAAAATTAAAACAAGTCCATTAATAATATAATTGAAAAGACTACTTCTGCACTATGAGACAGAAGATATGGGGTTCAGAGGGGAGCCCATCTGAGTCAGGACTTTATCCAGCCACTGAAGAGGTCCATGAAGATGAATCTCAATCCAACAGGGGGTGCTGGTAACATCCTGCCGGTGATATTCTGCTCCCCAGCCCTAAGAAAATGAAAAGATATCATAGCAAATACCTCTTTAAACTGTCAATCAGCCTAAAACAATTTTAACAAACTAACAAAGAGATACTTTAACAGCAGAGGCCACAAAACCAATCTCAGGATTCACCATGGAATTAAAAGCAACAGAGTTGGGCGCCTGGGTGGCTCAGTCGTTAGGCGTCTGCCTTCGGCTCAGGTCATGATCCCAGGGTCCTGGGATTGAGCCCCGCATCGGGCTCTCTATTCAGTGGAAAGTCTGCTGCTCCCTCTGCCCCTCCCTCCTCCACTCGCTCACTCTGTCTGTGTCTCAAAAAATAAAATCTTTAAAAAATAAAAAAATAAAAAATAAAAGCAACAGAGTTGCAGTATTGAAAGAGATAGGATTCCCTTAACAGAAATCCTTGGGGCAAGATATGTTTCAGAATTCTTTTTCTTTTTGAAGTTTAGAAAGTTAATACAGTACAATAGCTCATAATTAAAACACTATTATTTCTGCAGTGAGATACATTCTCACTTAATGGGATAAATAAAACCCACAAACAGCCTCATATAAGTTCACATCAGATTCTGTTGCGAAAAAGTTTTGGTTTTTAGGTTTGGGATTTTTTTTTTTTTTTTTTAACTGAGGTAAGACACTGTAGATCTGATCAATGCACACAACTGTAATTAAAGTAGCTGGGATGAATTACACTGGAATACTTTAGCCTAAAATTCTAGATAAAGATTAAAATTTTTTTCACTTTTATTTGCCTGGATTCACCAAGCTCTCTGCTTTACAGCTTACAGTAGTGCTGGCCCAGGAAAATGAGGCTTGGGAGGAGGAGATGGGGAGTAGAGATTAAACACATAAAAGTTATGTTTCTGGGGCACCTGGATGGCACAGTTGGTAAGAGTCCTGGGATTGAGCCCCGCATCCCTGCCCTGCATCCCCGCATAGTCAGGCTCCCTGCTCAGCGGCGAGTCTGCTTCTCACTCTCCCTCTGCTCCCTCCACCCCCACACACTCTCTCTCTTTCAATCAAATAAATAAATAAAATCTTCAAAAAAAAAAAAGTTAGGTTTCTATGGAGGGGGAATGCCTTTGGGGCTACTGATAAACTGATGCATAGAAAAGACCGACAGCAAAGCAGCAAGGCAACACTGGACTGTGGGTCTGAATGTCAAAAAGAAAAAGCCCACTCGGAGCATTTCACAATTGTTCTTCTTCGGTTAAAACCTTAAGGACCGACTGGATAGAGTACAGGATGTTTATATGGTGTCACTAAAATTCTTCCCTAATTTTACTCACAAACCATCATCTTCAGAAGGCCAGTAAAATCAGGCCAAGAGCAAGTGATAAATTTGAAAAGTTCTTTCAACTTTGCAAATCCTTAATAACAGAGGTTAAATGCAAGGAAGCTAATTTTAGACTTCTAAAGAATTTTTTAAGTCACTCCAGTGGGATCTAATAATAATTGAAACTGCCGAAGCTAAGGAACTTCAAAAGCAATTTTAATATTAAATGCTTTCTAGCAATTCAGTCTTTAACCGAAGCTCTTTATAAACTCAGCCCCTATTCAGTATCAAAATCAGTATCATGCATTTTATGTCTGGATTATAAAATTAAAACTTAGACCTACCGTGTGGTTTTAAAGCTTTAAAACTCAAGAATATCATTTAAAAACCTATTAAGTCAGGTCAAAAGTAAATACTGACTTTCATTTCACAAAGACATTTTAAAATCATAACCTATAGAAATATAATATACATATTTACAGTGACTCAAATTAAGCTACAGGTTACAACCCACTCACCTTGACAAAACTCATTCGAATGGTACACATTTTGGTGAGCTCATACACTGCCTCAAATCCATGGTTGACAGATTGAGCCAGAAGCTGAGCAAACTCTTGGTTGTTAAAAATTTTGAGGCTGCAACTGCTGGGAATCTTACAGACAGTGGTAGGATGAAAGCCATGATGGAAGTTGCAGTTCCTACTCTGAACAAATATGCTGCTGTCACTGAGGCACTCTGCATACACTTCTCCACCAACATAGTACAGGTGAACACCTTAAAAAGACGAGCATTACAAGACTCACCTTAATACCGCAGCATAACGAAACCAAAGCGGTTGTCTAGAGTGCAATCAAGAATACCCGCTAACCTACAGCAAAAAGACCAACAGTCTGTAGACAGAAGCTACCACTAGAGGGCCTTACACTGCCGAAGATAATCAAGAGGTCTACAATGGTCCTTAAATAACTAAAATGTAAGCCTCAGGTTGGCAGCTTATTAGGTTTATCAGTTCTTAGGTTCTTTTCTTTTTGCCAACAATCATTTATTATCTCTATGAGAGAAAGCAAAGACAAAAAGAAAAAAAACACCTATGATGAGTCCTATCAAAGGAACAGTTGGTGCTAAGTTAATTTAACTATCACAAAGAGTCAATTGGCAAAATGCTCTGCATTCTTTTTTACTAATGGAGAGTACAGGAGCATTAAAAAAGACCCTAAGTAGGGCGCCTGGGTGGCTCAGTTAGTTAAGCGACCGCCTTCGGCTCAGGTCATGATCCTGGAGTCCCGGGATCGAGTCCCACATCGGGCTCCCTGCTCCCTGCTCAGTGGGGAGTCTGCTTCTCCCTCTGAGTGTGCTCTCTCTCTCAACTAAATAAATAAAATCTTTAGAAAAAAAAAAAGACCCTAAGTCACATATGTAATTTCAGGTCACAGGAAGAGACTTTAAATGGAAGATTTTACTTCCCTTGAAAAGAATGGTTTTGGTATTTTAAAAATATGTATGTAAATAATGTGAATATACTTTCAATATTAAAACTTCAAATTATATAGCTAAAGCTGAAGTTATTTCCAACTTTTCACCCCCACAAACAATGCTAAAAAGACCAACCTTGTACACTCATACCTCATACACATGTGAGTCAAAGACTTATATTAAGCTCTGATACAAAAAACTATGTTTTGTTTCTGAGCAAATAAAATGACCCATGGAGGAAGGGATCCCAGAACTGGATACTAGGAAAAATGGGAAAACAGAGTCTAGAATTTAAGAATTCCACAGGTAGATTTCTCTTAAATCATCCTACAGTAGTGGGAAAACCAATACACAGAAGTGAGGCATTTCACCTACAAAATCAATGCCATGTTGGCAACAGTCAAAAGAGAATGGAAGCTTTCTTGTCAACTTATTTTTGGCCATAGTATTTTGCTGAATCTCTTCTATAAGAAATCAGATTACAATTACAATTATACCTTTTGTAGGTACTAGTTTACCTTTTATAGGTAAAGGGTGTAAGTATACCTTTGGTTCTAACTTGGACTGACTTCCCTCAAGTCCAAGAAGCAAAACAGAGCTAGTGGTAAAAACTAAACTCACAAGACAGGCAATACACTCTACCTGGGATAGGCTTCCTTCCTGACCACTTGATGCATGAGACTCGGACATTCCACCGAGGTGGGAGAAGTTCCTTGTTTGTTGTGGCAACTGTCTTGTGAGATGAAATATAAATAAAACCTAGTTACCTGAATTTAAAAGGCAGGAGGGGTGGTGGTGAAGCCACTGGAAACTTGTTATCATTCAAACTGGACTTCTTACCTGTAACCCAGCTCCTCCAACATAACAGAAATTCTTACAAGGCACCTCAACTCAAAATACCGTAATTAAAAAATTCTAATCCTTCACCAGCATTCATATATTCCACAAATATTTGCCGTGTACTTACTATGAGCCGGGCACTGTTCTAACTGAAAATAATGCTGTGAACAAAGCAAATTTCTGTAAAGCTTATATTCCAGTCAGGAAGACACTCAAAAAATAGATATAGAAAGAGTATGATTTCAGATCCTAAGTACTATGACGAAAAACTAAGCACGATAAGGAAAAGAGTCCTAATTAGGTCTTGACTTAATACATTCTCTAGCATCTGCAACTTGAGGGCACAGCCCACGCCTCAGGCTCGCGGTATACTCCAGCGCCTTACACAACTCACGGTACATAGTGAGCACAACAAATGACTGATTTCAACTGAATGCAGGGAAAAGACAAAATTACCTTTTCCAATATGTCGCCTAGTGTTTTCAATTGTTGAATTACGATTAACATTTGACAACAACCCCAAGCAGAATCTACTTTTGTTATTTGAAGGGTCTGTGAATCCATCTACTAACACGCTAGTAGAAGATGCATGAAAAGCCTCCCCAACACGATTGTTTAATTCATAGTAGACAATTGAACACCAATGTTTCGGCTCTTCATAGGCAACGGGCTGAACGTCTGTAAACAAACCAGACAAAAAAACGATTAATGAGTGAATTAGAAACCCCAGATTCTTTGTTTCCTTTAAGCCAACACAAGCACTCTATGAAAAAATATTTTCAGGTATTTCACTTAAGTATCACTGTCCTCCCTGGCTTTGAGTCTATTACCTTACAAAAAAAAAGAAAAACAGTAATGTCTTGAAAATGATGATTTTTTAAAACTTATCCAAATACAAGTATAAGGATAGGCAGTATCACATTTATTTTTTTATTTTTCTTCTAAATTTTTTATTATTGAAGTAGAGTTGACACACAATACCATAATGGTTTCAGGTGTACAACACAGCGACTAGATAATCCTGTATATTACTCAGTGCTCACCACGATAAACGTAGTTGCCATCTGTCACCAAACAACACTATACAACATTATTATATTATTCTCTATGCTGTACTTTTCATCTCCAAAACTTATTTAATGTGTAACTGGAATTTTGAATCTTTTAATCCTCTTCTCCTGTTTTGTACACCACCCCCCTCCAACAACCACCAGTTTGTTCTCTGTATTTATGAGTCTGTTTCTGGTTTATTATTTTTTCATTTGCTTTGTTTTTTAGATTCCACATACGTGTGAAATCATATGATATTTGTCTTTGTCTGACTTATTTCATTTAGCATAATATCCTCTAGGTCCATCCATCTTGTTGCAAAATGGCAAGATCTCATTCATTTTTATAGTTGAGTAATATTCCATTGTGTATATATCTCCTTTATTCACTTATATCTATTGATGGATACCTAGCTTACTCCCATATCTTGGCTATCGTAAATAATGCTACAACAAACACAGGGGTGCACATATCTTTTCAAATTAGTGTTTTCGGGAAAAAAAAATTAGTGTTTTCACTTTCTCTGGGTAAATACCCAGTAGTGGAATTACTGGATAATATGGTATTTCTATTTTTAATTTTCTTGGAAATCTGCATACTGTTTTCCACAATGGCTGCACCAACATATACTACCACAAACAGTGCACGAGGATTCTCTTTTCTCCACATCCTTGTCAATACTTATTTGTCCTTCTGATACTAGCCATTCAGACTGGTGTGAGGTGGCATCTCACTGTGATTTGAATTGCATTTCCCTGATGATTAATGATGCTGAACATCCTTTCGTATGTCAGTTGGCCATCTGTATGTCTTCTTCGGAAAAAGGCCTATTCAGATTCTCTGCCCATTTTTCTAACCAAATTGTTTGTTTGGTTTGGGTTTTTTTCTTGGTGTTGAGTTGTGTAAGTTCTTTTATTTATTTTGGATATTACTCCTTATCAGATATATCATTTATAAATATCTTCTTACATCCAGCAGACTGCTTTTTCCTTTTGTTGAAGGTTTCCTTAACTGTTACAAAGCTTTTTATTTTGTAGTCCTAATAGTTAACTTTTGTCTGTTTTCCTTGCCTGAGGAGACACATCCCATAAATATGTTGCTAAGGCTGATGTCCAAGTGATCACTGCCCTATGTTTTTCGAGAAGTTTTATGGTTTCAGGTCTCACAATTAGGTCCTTAGTCTGAGTTTTTTTAGTGTGTGGTGTAAGAAAGTGGTCCAGTTTCATCTGTTCACATGCAGCTACCCAGTTTCCCCAACACCATTTACTGAAGAGACTGTCTTTTCCCCATTGTATAGTCTTGCCTCCCGTGTCGCAGATTAACTGACCATATTAAGTGTGAGCTTATTTCTGGGTGCTCTATCCTGTTCAATTGATCTAAAGTTGATCCTGCAACTTTACTGATTTCCTTTCTTAGTTCTAGTAGTTTTTTTGGTGCAGTCTTCAGGATTATATATATATATATATACACACACACACACCACGTAATTTGCAAATAATGATAGTTTTACTTCTTCCCTTCCAATATGGGTGCCTTTTATTTCTTTTTCTTGTCTGATTGCTGCAGTTAGGACTTCAGTACTATGTTGAATACAAATAAGTGGCAAGAATGGCCATCCTTATCTTGTTCCTGATCTTCAAAGAAAAACTTTCAGCTTTTCACCATTGAGTATGATGTTAGTTGTGGGTTTGTCATATATATTTGTCTTCACTATATTGAGGTATGTTTCCTCTAAATCCACTTTGTTGAGAGTTTTTATCATAAACAGATAATGATTTCTGTCAAATGCTTCTGCATCTACTGAAATGATTATTACCATTTTTATCCTTCATAAGTTACTAAGGTAATATATCACATTGGTTGACTTAGATACTAAACCACCCTTGCACCCGTGGAATAAATCCCACTTGACTGTGTGGTGAATGATCCTTTTAACTTACTGTTCAATTTGGTTTGTTAATATTTTGTTTAGGATTTGTGCATCTAAATTCATCAGGGATACTGACCCATAGTCTTCTTTTTTTGTGGTGTCTCGATCTGGTTTTGGTGTAAGGGAAAGGCTGGGCTTGCAGAATTAACCTGGAAGCTTTCCTTCCTCTTCTATTTTTGTAACAGTTTGAGAAAAATAGGTATTACCTCTTTGTTAAATGTTTGATAGAATTCACCTCTGAAGCCATCTGGCCTTGAGCTTTTGCTTGTTGGGGGAGTTTTTTGATTACTGATTCAATTTCATTACTAGTAATCAGTTTGTTCAGATTTTCTACTTCCTCCCAATTTAGCTTTGGAAACATTGTCCAATTTGTTGGCATACCATTTTTCATAGTCTCTTATATTCCTTTTTATTTCTATGGTTTCAGCTGTTACTTCTCTCTTGCTTCTGATTTTATTTGGGCCTTTTCTCTTTTTTTCTTGATGAGTCCAAGCGTTTGTCAATTTCGCTTATCTTTTCAAAGAACCAACTCTTGGTTTCAATGATCTTTCCTACTGCTTTTTAAGTCTCTATTTCACTTATTTTCACTCTGATCTTTATTATTTCCTTCCTTCTACTAACGCTGAGCTGTGTTTGTTCTTCTTTTACTAGATCCTTTAGGTGTAAGGTGAGATTGTTTATTTCAGTTTTTTCTTGTTTCTTGAAGTAGGCCTGCACCACTATAAACTTCCCTCTTAGAACTGCTTTTGCTGTGTCCCAAAGTTTTTCAACAGGTGTGTTTTCACATTTTAAATTGTTTTTCTAGCACAGTCTAATCAAGGTTTAAATTTGTAAAACAAGCCTCTGTATCAGCAACCTGAAATACTTAACTATACCAGCATTTGTAAAATTATTCTAAGCAAAAATATGAACTAAAAAACCAAGTGAGACTCTCAGCAAGCTAGAAATAGAGGGTAACTCCTACAATTTGATAAAGAACATTTACAGGAAACGTATACCTAACTTCATACTTAATGGTGAGGAACTAGAAGATTTCCTGCCAAGATCAGTAACAAGTTAGGTATGTTCTCACCATTCCTTTTCCAACACTGTACTAGAAGTCCTAGCTAATACAGTTAGGAGAAGGGGTAATAGAAGGTATACAAATTGGAAAGGAAGAAATACAATCGTCTTTGTTCACAAATGACATGGCTGTCTACATAAAAAACCTGAAAAAAATGAAAAAAAAAAAGAACTCCTCGAACTAATTAAGCTATTACAGCAAGGTTGCAAGATGCAAGGTTAATATACAAAGTCAATCACTTTGCTATATACCAGCAATGACTATGTGAAATTTGAAAATAAAAATTCATGACCATTTATATTAGCATTCAAAAGAAGAAACACTTAGGTAAAAATCAAAATAGTACAAGACCTATATGAAGAAACTATAAAGCCCTAAAGACAGACATCAAAAAGGAAGTAAATAAATGCAGAGAGAGCCCATGTTCATGGAAAGGAAGCCTTAATACTTCCAAGAAGTCAGTTCTTCCCAACATGATCTATAGGTATCAAAGCAATCCCAATCAAAATCCCAGCAAATCATTTTGTGAGTATCAACAAACCGATGCTAAAGTTTATTTGGGGCAGCAAAAGACCCAGAACACCTAACACAATACTGAAGAAGAACAAAATCAGAAGACTGACACTATTCAACTTACCATAAAGCTACAGTTATCAAGACAGTATGGTACTGGCACAAAAACAGACACATAGATCAAAGGAACAGAAGAGAGAGCCCAGAAAAAGACCCATATAAATACAGTTAACCAATTTCTGATGAAGGAACAAAGGCAATAATGGAGAAAAGATAGTCTTTTCAACAAATACTACAAGAACAACCACAGGCAAAAAAATTAAATCTACACACAGACGTCACAGCCTTCACAAAAATTACCTCAAAGTCAAAGACCTAAATGTACAACACAAAACTGTAAGAGGTTCTAGAAGATAACATAGCAGAAAATCTAGATAACCCATGAATATAGTAATGACTTTCTAGATACAACATCAAGGCATGAACCATGAAAGAACTGATAAGCCAGACTTTATTAAAAATTCAAAGCTTCTGCTCTGCAAAAGACAATATCAACAGAATAACAAGACAAGCCACAGCCTGGGAGAATATATGTACAAAAGACATACCTGGTAAAGGACTATTATCCAAAATATACAAAGAACTCTTAAAATTCAACAAGAAAATAAGTAACCCAATTTAAAAAATGGGTCAAAGACATAACCAGCCACCTCATCAAAGTATATACATAACAAATAAGCATATAAAAACATGCTCCACATCATGTGTCATTGGTAAATACAAATTAAGATAGCAATAAAATACCACTATACACCCATAAGAATGGCCAAAATCCAAAAGTGTGAGAACACCAAAAATTGGTGAGGATGTGCAACAATAGGAATTCTCATTCACTGCTAGTGGGAATATAAAATGGTACAGCCACTTTGGAAGACAGTTTGGTGGTTTCTTACAAAACTTAACATACTCTTACCATATTATCCACAAACATGCTCCTCAGTATTTACAAAAGGGAGGTAAAAACTTATGTCCACATAAAACCTACACACAGATGTTTATAGCAGCTTTACCCATGACTGCCAAAACTTGAAAGCAACCAAGATGTCCTTTTGCAGGTGAATG